CTACTGCCTCTGCGCAATTTCATTTCTCTCTAGCGACTAGGTCAGGAATCAGAATACACTAGACGGTTTACAAGAACCCCAAAAGTTGTAGACCGCGCACCGACCAATCAGCGAAGAGCTGTGAAGCCATGACTGAGTCCCTTTTGTGGTACAGCACAACACAAAACAAAGCGGTCGAGTTGGATGTAAGCAAAGCCATACATTCTGTGTTGGCAACAATTCAGGAGATCGCGGATTTAAAACCGGAACAAAGAGAATGTTTGTTGAATTTTATCAAGGGGAAAGATGTTATTGCCCTTCTTCCTACAGGATTTGGAGCATTACATACAAATAGCAGTGATTGGTTAAATGAAAAAGTACCCGCCTACCATCGAGCCAACGAATCATAATGCTGTGAGGTCAGATGGTTTCCACAAAGTGAAACTGGCTGATGAATCAGGCTGCTTCCCGATGCAATGTCCTCCATATTTCAACCCACGGTATTGGAGTATCACATTGAGCGAAAAGAAAATAACTAGAAAAAGTAGGCACTATGCAGTATGGCTATATTTAGAGTAAGTACTAGGAAAAACAAATAACTGTGATAACTATATTGGAAATTACTATACCTATACTTTTAGGATAGTTGAATATGCAATTTGGACACAGTTAATTAAATTCAAACACGTTAGTAGCAAAGTAAAAGTGTAGCCTGAAATTTTTAACTATTTGATTATGTTAAGTCCAGTTGTGTTTTTATTTTAGTCCTTGAAGAAGTTATATATATCTGTCAGATTATTTATTATGTTTATTTTAGTTGAGGGTTGAACGCGTTACCCAATACTGTGATAACAAGACGGTGATATATTATGAAGCCCTGGTTACTAATCAATATCATATGATTGATCCTTGTGAAGGTGCTTAACTGCGTCTGTAACCAGAGGCTGTTTGCATGACGTGCTCTAAATGTTAAAAGGGAATGATAAAGCACAAATCTTCACTAAAATCACAGCAGCCATGTTTTCTATGTGAGATGAGACATGACTGCATGTTCTACCAGGATGCCTGATTCTCTCTGTGCCATATTTATGAACTGGAGACTTAAATCCCTGCTGCTTTTAATTTTTAAACTCTATGCGAGCTACAGAGGGCCATTCAGAAACAGGCCTGATAAAATACTAATGCCCTGGGTCTGTTCTTCTCAGGCAAATCAGATCCTGTATACTGTGTCTGTGATATCAGAGGACTTACTGGTTTCCTCCCTTGGTTTTAACGGTCACTGCCAAGAAATACAGCTTCAACATTTAACATGGACTCCTGCGGACTTAGATTTGATAGGGAAGAGAAAGTAGGTGTTATTCTAACTTTGTGGGCCAAATATAGCTTGAAAAAAGTGGTTAATGAAGTGCATATTGTCAAATGCAGGTTGAATTTTAGGGCATGCTAGTGTAAAATGCCAGTTAGTATAAAAAACACATCATATATGAGATGCGAAATATGATTTTGTTAAAGTTAAAGTTGAGCACTTTATAAAATGTGGTGTTAGTTTGACTGTAAGTATCAGCTGCAGGCTACAGTACATTTTATATGGAGAAATTTGCATTAACAGATAACTTTTGGCTAAATAATGTCAATGTGTGGTTAAAGAATAATAGAATTTTTTTGTTTTGCCTTATAGTTGATCTCAAACCCGGAAGTAGCAAATGGTGCGCTGCTGATAGTTGTTGTTAGGATTACTGTAACACTGAAACTGGGTGTTGAAAGTTGTTAAACAAGATTAAAATATGATCTCTAATTATTTTAGGATGGTAGGAATGGTTGTGAACTACAGCTAACAACTTTTATGTATTCCCTTTAACCTGAAGTGCCAATTAGCCATCACCAGACAAGATCAATATTTTTCATGTATTAAAGCAGCTCAATTAGCCCACTTTAGAAAAACATGAAGCGCTGCAACTAGTCTGGTAACAAAATTGGAAGAGGGCATCCAGGGAGTCAATGAGAAGTGGTCAGCTGCCGAACCAAACTCTCCACACTCACATTATCCACTCAGGACACAGGGCTGGTAGTGAGGGACCAGATGTGCCCTGGAGAATAAAAGGGTTTAGGGTAAGATGCTCCAGAGTGAAAGTGAAACGCCCTCCTGAGCTGCACGGGAAAAACTCAGCCTCTATTGTCACCCATCTGCTGCTGTATCGAGCGGACTTAGGCTTAACCCCGGCTTCTTTCTCTGGGCACAGGTGTAAAAAAAACAAAAAATTGTCAATTCTGGAACAAATGGGAACAGGAAAATATTGATTTCAATGTGCAAAATAAAATGGGGAGAGTTGCGATGACAAGTGAAGAGTTTTGTAAAATGATTAACAAAAGAAGTGCTCCATTTTAACATGTCAATTCATTTAATAAAATCCTTTTAACTATATTTTGATGTCATAATAGTCATGATTGTCTTTGATTGAATAGGCTTACTCATTTAATTACAGTGGTTCCAACTGTGTAGTATGTGTGGTACTACATTTAGCATATTAAAACAACTTTGAGAACAAACTGTTTTGAACTGCTGGAATAATACTTCATATTGTAACGCATTTGTGTTTAAGGTCCTATATTACACAATATTATAATGGAGTTACTTCATTAAAAACATACCTGGAGTTGTGTTTTGTTTTATTCACAGGTTTGAATAACCTTTTGTAATTAGTCTGTCCACCTCCAAATCTCCAAATGCTCTGTTCAACCTTGCGATATCAACACAGTTAAAAATGTGAATGCAAAAAAAAAATCCAGGTAAGATACTGATGAGGAAACAAGACTATAACAGAGATCATAAAATAACATAATATGAGCCCTTTTATAATATTTTAAACATATAACATATCTTCTTTTATTAGAGCACTATATTCAATAAACTCAAGGAAAGGCAAAAAAAAACAAAATGCAAATCAGTGCACTCTAGAAGGCAGTTGGCAGTGTGGAAAATAGACAAGAAATCAAATGCCTCATGTTGTCCATCTGTTAAGTATTGACCAATCCCTTTCTTTATCTGCTTACAGAAAAAGAAACACTCACAAAATAGAAAAAGTATTTGGAAAAGTGTACCCAGTGCCCAGGCCTTATCGGTCCAGGGGCAGATGTAACGCACTAAATTACAGTGAGCTGGACAAATAATTAAACAGCTAAAAATAAGAGCATTCTGGACACAAGCCGCTGTTTGGTGAGAGAAGGATATCACACTTCTGCAGTGACCATCAGGACACGCAGTTGGAGGAAAAGCCACTTTAAGTCTGTAAAAGTGATTTAGAAAACTTGCAAGTGCTATATAATTAGAAGAGACTCTTAAATGCTGGAAAACTATAAACAACTAAGAAATTTGTTGTTAAATGCTCATTTTTATATAGTACTTTTTGTCCACCATGGGCACACAAATCAGTTTACATCAATGAACTACGCACCCATTCACACACACTTACACTGGAGGTGAACAGCTCAAGTGTCTTGCACAAGGACACAATAACAATGAGCTTTGGGTCAGTCAGTCTGACCACTCAACCAACTTGTCAGGAGCGTGATTCGAACCACCAACCAGGGATCAGGGGATATTTTAGGATAAAAAGTTACATAATATTGTTTGAAGTATTTATACTCCTCAAAGGCTTGACTCCTTCAGAATAGAGGCAGGCGTGAGCAGCTCAGATCTATTTTTGTTGATAAAAGAACACAATTCAATGTTCTGAGCAACTGAGGCTTTTCTAACAATTTACTGAAGTCTTCACATGACCTGTCTCCTGTCATACAATATACTCACAATCTGCCCATTAAGTCATATTAACAAAACATCCCTTAATTATCTTTTGAGTGACATTAGTGACATTAGTTAGATACTAACACACATACTAAGCTCCAACCACTGGTTATATTGACATGCATGTTACAACAATATCACAACAATATCAGCATTAACAATATTCCTTTTAGCTGCTCCAAAGATTATTGTCTTATATTATAAAATGTTGAAACCCATTAACAATATCCAAACTGGCAACTGTGCGCACGGTTCTTACTGCAATATTACTGCATTTATCCGATCTTAGAAGTGTCGCAAGTCAGCGTCTAGCAGTCACAATAGCTGGATTATAACAGGAATAAGGAGAAGGAAAGAAGGATAATAACAAAGTACATGTGTTTTATACATTTAGACCCGCAGTTGAGCCATGGCACTTGTCTTTGCGCATTACTGGAGTCAAATGATTATGTAGTTAATGTTAAAAATTAGTCCGCTCTCACGCTATCCTCGGTGTCCCTCTCTCCTCCTGCCTCTAACGTGAATAAAGTGACCAGGCTTCTCTTTTTACCTGGGACAGTCCCAGGTTTGAGCCCTGTGTCCCCTGTCCCAGCAGATTTATCCAAAACCACTGATCACACAAGAAATGTCCCAGGTGTCCATATTTTGGACCAATTTGATAACTGTAAATAGTGAAAAGAGGCATACATTGACATCTGTTGAGGTAAAATATAGAAAATCTGCTTACAAATGACCAAAACACAAAGAAAATATGACTATACTTGCTCACATGTTAGTCATGAATGGGCTGAGTGCAGAACAATTTTCTTTAATTACGTTTCACAATTGTATTATTACCAACCATCACAAACCGAGGGTGTCCCAGTTTTTGATTTAGAAATTCTGGTCCTCCTAAACGTGAAGCATGTGCTGATTGGAGATGCTCATTCTCCTGTCATCTCTGCATTAGCTAACCTTAGCATGCTACCGCTAACAGGTTACCTCCAAATCACTCGCACCGCTTTGGAAATCATCAACAATTAGCATCTGAACACAGCACTGCGGAGTGGAAAGCGTGACAATGCCATGGGTTGAAGTGTGCGCGTAAGGTCAGCTCTGCCTTCACGTTGTGTTAGCAGCCAAGGCGCTAAATGAATGGGGGTTGGGCTAGCATCCTCCAGCCAGCAGCATCTCTTGTCTGGTGTTTGCGTGGCGCGGGTGAAATAAAATATGGACAAACCTGGTTGTAGTGCACCGTGAGAGGCTTCAGGTAGTCGGAGTCTGTGCACGGGACCACTTGGATGTTGTTGATCTCCTCCATGGTTCGGAGCTGGGTGCGGGTGCTGAAGGATCGGTGGCGCACGGATGATGCTGCTGCTCTGCTGCTGTCACCGCACTGACAGTGAAGGAATGCGTACGGAAGCCTGCCGAGGACAAAACAGAGCAGCACGTTCAATCATAATGTAAAGGCTGAAAGTAAAAGTCAATTTGGGGTATTGGATGAGACTAAAATACTGCACTACAAAGCCAAAATAACCTTAGCTAACCAGAGTGTGAAACTGTGAAAAATGACTTAAAAGTTTCTGTTTTGTCCAGACAAAAGTATAATAGACAGGGCTCCCAAAATTTGACAACTAGTTGATTTAATGAAGAAATATTTGTATGTGAAAAATATTGACCCTTATGTGTCATTTCCTGTACTAAAATGAGGAGTCGTGCAAAGGCAAAAGGCAGTAACTGTGCATGTTTTGTTTGTGATTTAGTTAATAAATATATTATATGTCTCCAGCTCACAGTCGATAATGTGACCAGCTTGTAAAGGCTGAAAGTGAAAGTCAATTTGGGGTATTGGATGAGACTAAAATACTGCACTACAAAGCCAAAATAACCTTAGCTAACCAGAGTGTGAAACTGTGAAAAATGACTTAAAAGTTTCTGTTTTGTCCAGACAAAAGTATAATAGACGGGGCTCCCAAAATTTGACAATTAGTTTATTTAATGAAGAAATATTTGTATGTGAAAAATATTGACCCTTATGTGTCATTTCCTGTACTAAAATGAGGAGTCGTGCAAAGGCAAAAGGCAGTAACTGTGCATGTTTTGTTTGTGATTTAGTTAATAAATATATTATATGTCTCCAGCTCACAGTCGATAATGTGACCAGCTTGTAAAGGCTGAAAGTGAAAGTCAATTTGGGGTATTGGATGAGACTAAAATACTGCACTACAAAGCCAAAATAACCTTAGCTAACCAGAGTGTGAAACTGTGAAAAATGACTTAAAAGTTTCTGTTTTGTCCAGACAAAAGTATAATAGACAGGGCTCCCAAAATTTGACAACTAGTTGCTTTAATTGTATGTGAAAAATATTGACCCTTATGTGTCATTTCCTGTACTAAAATGAGGAGTCATGCAAAGGCAAAAGACAGTAACTGTGCTTATTTTGTTTGTGCTTTAGTTAATAAAAATATTATATGTCTCCAGCTCAGTCGATCATGTGACCAGCTTGTAAAGGATGAAAGTGAAAGTCAATTTGGGGCATTGAATGAGACTAAAATACTGCATTACAAAGGCAAAATAATACTTTAGCTTGCCATAGTGTGAAACTGAGAAAAATGACTTCAGAGTTTCAATTTTGTCCAAAATTTTACAACTAGTTGCTTAAATGAGGAAATATTTGTATGTGAAAAATACTGAGCTCAAAATTGACCTTTGACCCTTATTTGGTAGTTCCTGTACTCTGCCTTTGTATCATGTGCCATAAAAAAGGAGTTGTGCAATGGCAAAAGGGAGTAACTGTGCATGTTTTGTTTGTGATTCAGTTAATAAATATCATTAGCCTAATAGCATAATTGCCTAAGTCCTTTTTTTTTTTTTTTTGGCCAAATTGTGATATAACTTTACTCTCCTACCACTGCTGCAACACCCTGCCTTATTGCCTATGTCCTCAGGATATCAGAACGCTTATTAGAGTCTAAAATCACTGTCTGCCTTAGTCATCTCTATACATTATATATAAAAAACACCATGTGCTTGCTAAAAAATGTGTTTTTTCTTGTTTTCTGAAAATGTTCAAATATGACTTAGGCATCTATGCTGTTAGGCTAACGATATATTGTATGTTTCCAGCTCACAGTCAACCACATGACCAGCTTGTAAAGGGTGAAAGTGAAAGTCAATTTGGGGTATTGAATGAGATGAAAATATATCCATGAACTGGGGTATGTGTGTACGACCTTTGATAGAGAATCCTAAAACTGCTTTGTGCTCCACTATAACAGTTGTCTGCACTTTGTTTCCAGACTACTACAACTACTACTACTACTACTACTACTACTACTACTTACTACTACAGCAACTACTACAACAACTACTACAACAACTACTACAACCATTACTAAATAATAATGTAGGCCTGCTAGATTATTCATTTACTATTTTTTGCCCATTAATATTGGTACAATAGGTGCAGCTTGTGTATAGGATTATTATTTAATGTACCTGTCTAACAATGCTATAAGAAATAACAGCAATACTATGAATTTGTTGTGTCCTTGGGCAAAACACTTTAACCACATCCAACAACATGGCTGCATCTTAAATAGCCCATGTTAGAGAAATTCCTTTTCGGTGCTGTATCTAGGGCACTTACTGTCAACTCAGTCCTGAGTCCTGATTATCTTGGCCTGTGTCATCAGAGGTATAATACTCCCTAAAACTGAAATGGACAACACTGTAGCTGCCATCAGTGGCAACATTTAAGTTCATGTTTTATAATATTCATATTGACATATGATATATTTAAAAAGCAATATATAGAATAAATAAGTTATTTTTTCCATAAGTTAATGTTAATTCATTTCATTTTATTTTGGTTTGATTTGTTCCCCTTTTTGGTTTGATTTTTTGGTTTGATTTGTTCCACTTCCAATTACATATTGTTTTGAGGGTAAGTTTTTAACAGATGCACTGTCTTAACTGGGAGACACATGAGGAGCTCTGACATCTGAACCAAACAGACATTTTTGTTTTAAGTTGAAAGTTTTCACGAAGACAAGACTTTATTCCCTTTGAGTGAATGTGTCCAATGAGGTACATTTTGTGTTGTTTTATTGTGTGATTACTTTTCTGTCCGTGTTCTGTATCCGAGGGTTAATTTTAGGTTTAGTTTGTTTCTTTTCTATAGTTCTGATGGCATCCATCGGCACTGAGGTTAATTTAAATGTGAAAGACTCATATCTGAATAAATGTTTGTTAAAACCAAAGATAGATTTTTAGCTTTGTTTAAAGTCGAGGGGAGTAACAAACACTATCAAAGTTTTTCTTCTTCTGCATCAGAACTTCAGCATCATGCCTTTTCTCTTCATCTCTCGGGCTACTACTGTTTATTTTACAACAATGTACATTTTTGTTTTTCACTGAGAACTACTTATAATGGTTGAAAGAGATTAAGACATGTTGCAAAGTTATATTTAGTAAGTACGAATGATTTTTATATAATTTGAAGACCTAAAGCCATTACTAATACTTGCCTTCACTAAAATGGATTTTGTGACTGCTACAAAGTCAACAAATGTGCTTCCTGCCTTTACTTAAAACAGCACAATGGTTTTCCTGACTATATCCGTAGCTTGTTCAATCGATGTAATGGATGTCACCTTAACGTGCCCTGAACACCTATTAGATGTACCACGATAAGGAAGTCTTTTTTTCCCCTCTTAGTCTTCATCGTGCTGACTAATGAATAAAATCAGGGTGTGGGTGCTTTTCTCACCCGCGCTGCCTTGAATGGGTGAGGCTACATGATGTCACCCAGCCATCACATCAATAACAGCTCCATAATGGGGAACAATCTGAGCGGCTACAATCTCGACGGAGCTAACTTCCTCCCGCAAACCAGCCCAAGGACTTCTGTGAGCTGATTTACATCTAAATAAATACAGGCATAGACCAAACAATGCATGGACCCACAAGAGGAACAGGCAAGTCCAAGGCATATGGGAGCAGGTCCGGCCAAGCTGCGCTGCCCGATAAGAAGCAAGGGAGTGGACACAAAGGAACAAGGGAGAAGAATGATGGAAGGGAATATAGAGCGCAAGTTGTATAAAAGGGGGATTACGAGAAGTTTAAAAATGGTATTGGTTTGTCATGCAGAGTCAGTCTCAGAGCACAATGTTAAACTATAGCATTCAGATATACTGTATATACTCAAACACAGTTCAAACAAGTAAAGATAATATTGTTTTCATGTTGGCTCTGACAAAGCTCATTCAAAAATATGTCTTTAATATGTAAAACAAGCTCTGAAAGAATTGCGTTTTGTATATCGGGTTGGATGTCTGATGCCCTCTGCTGGAAACCATAGGGAGTAAGTAATTTTGAAGTGCCAAATTAGCAGCATGGCTAATGTCAACATGACTCCATTTGGCACAATGGTTTGTATTATAAAACAATTTAGGTCACTGAATGAACATAGAAAGCCTGCCTGATTTTGAGCTTAGAAAACTGAAACCATGCATCTGCAATAGTTCACATTATGGAAAATACAACTTCACTGTAAATGCTTTTCCTCTGAAATTTGTATATGCACACATTACAGGGTTGAAAACTATGGAGTAAGAAACCTTTCAAAAATATCTGTGTGCATAAGATAGAAATCCGAGCATATTTGTGAAATCCCTGCATATTTGGCTGCAGTTGAGCACAAAATAAATATTCGTAAACTCTTGAATGAGTCCAGTCATTCAAAAAATGTGCTGTGTGTATTTTATCCATCAAAATATGATTTGAAAAGTTACGATGTCAAGAATTACAGTCACGAAATGAAAATGAAACAATTATGCTTCTTCAGTACGAATACGAATTCACAGATGCAACTCTGTCAAAAATACGTCATTACTTCACAGGCATTATTTAGTGAGCAGAATCGATCGAGATGGCGAACTTTTGGGTCGCATACGGATTGAACTAAATATTTATTTTTTGCTCAACTACAGTCAAATATGCCCAGAAAATGCCATAGAAAACTTTTTTAAAAGATGATCAAGCATGTGTCTTCTTTAACTCCTGCCCCATTGTCTCCTCTCCTGGGCCTCATTGGAAGCTTGCCCATAAAGTGCCTGCTAAACCCTCTTATCAGCTGTGGCCTGCTCCGGGGGGCACCCACCTCGTGTTAATCCTCTTCTTCCACGAACATGCGGGTGCTGCGCTCTCCCAGTCAGCACCCATTACTGTGCGCACGGGGCTGATGGAGAACAGGCTCCTCACTCTCAGCTCCACACTGGGCTGGAGCCTGCCAAAGACACTGCTAAAGACCCATCTAAAGTCATGAAGCTCTGAGGCCACAGGTCAAACTGACAGGAGAGCTCGCTTTATGTGCTGTCTTTAAGGCATCATA